CCGGTTACGCATTGGCAGTGGAACTTTTCGTCAAATATTGACAACGGTCCCAGACCCCCCGTACGTTGAAGACTAGGAGGTTCTGGGTGGCCGAGACTAAAGAATTAATAGTTCACGAACGCTTCCTTTAGATTTGTTTGACGTCTCAATTGTTCTCACAGAATATGAGTCTTGCAATCTGATTAAAATACAGATCTATATTTGGTTTCTTCGTGTTTTACTATTGATGGGCCTCCACTACATGGAGTAGTGCAGACAGGTTAAATGAAATTTTGAACTAAAAACCGAAACGAAATAGGATCTGTGTTTTAATAAGATTGATAAATCCGTGATGTTATTGTTTTGTATGCATTTTTCGTGTACTGTTATCAAAATAGGCATGACGTCCGTGACTATGTTCACTCCTTTCTGTATCTCAAGCACTCTTGTCGTTTTAGAGTTCAGTAACTTTTGCCACCCACACCCCTTTACAAGATGTGTTTAATGAAGTGTATAGCAAGCTTTCACCTTATTACTTAAATGTGTATTTGGTCCGCCTTTTATATAGTATTATGTACGAGGCGCATCATCAGGACCTGTGAAAATCCACACGTACCGCCATTACAGCAGAGACGAGGCGGTGATAGCTAGGGTGTTACAAGATGGCTACAAGGTGTTAAACACTCTTTTCACACGTAGCCTATTCTCTCCGTTCGTCTCATTCTTAATGCACGAATCACTTTATTAAGACTAATCACGATGACAGGTCTAAATTGGTGTAAATTTACCGTGTCATCGAGATATATAGCGGAAAATATCAACCATATTGATTGTGAACACTAGGGTATATGCAAAATTCTCTGGGGTATATCTACTGTCGGCGATATAATAAAGATCACTTAAGAAGCGAAATGGATCAATGCCTAGCTGTAAGCTTTGAGTCAATTAAATTAACGGTCGCAGAGGGCTGGATTTTTCTCTCTCAGTCTATGATTAGCCCCCGTGCTAAGTGCTATTTACTGGTAAATTGACATGAAATTCTCGTGTCGTTTGTGTAACAAGTGCCTATCAATAACCTCTCATAAATATGCATAACTGTGATTTGGTCTCATAGCAAAAACACTATTCATTTACCCATGAAATATGAGGTAATATCCGAGCAGTGAGTGGTGTCAACTAACAGTTAGTACGGATAATGCTTGTTCCACACGCCATATACCACATCTCATTCTCTTAGTGTAGGTGTTGGTCGTGAGTCATTTGAAAATTATTGGTCTTTATTTCCGTAAATATTCCCGAAGCAATGGTAACGATCTTAGTCATTGAGGTAACAATTTTAGACTAGTGTATACTTATTGGTCTTCTAAGTTTGCTTACTGACTAATTAATACTAGTCGATATATCCTCTGTGGCTCTGGGATGTTTTCTTACTTCGTTCTGTTGCATATGATTAAAACAGGCATCGGTTAGGCTTTTTGGGAAATATGTAATCTATTTTCGTCCATACGTTTCTATGACATATTGCGGTACTTTCACATTGGGAAAACTTCCGGGTTCATATCGCGTAGACATTTGGGTTGGAAATTTGTGAAATTGACTCTTAAATGCCAATATGCTCTGTAATGTATTCGTAACATTGGTTTATCATGACGATTGATCCTATGTATGTGTGTGCTAAATTTTGGGTAATTCAAAAATTCCACTTACTAATGGTCAATTTTCTTGAATTAGAAAATCCAATTACAATTGATCACTTCTGTTCATTCGAAAGGTCCAATTAAGATCGCCCAGGTTTGTTCAATTGGAAAACCCTAGGTATCATAGCTCATTGTTTGTAATTAAAAAGTGGATTACCCAGTTATATCTTTATGGTAGATATATTGTTGTTTTTGACAAACCAGCTGTCTTTCTTATTCTTATATGGTAGACGATATTTACCACAGTAATTGACAGGTGCGCGCATGTCACCTAAACATGTCGCATATAGCTTCCAGCCACAGAAACTATATATTCTCTGGCCATAATATATATATGTACATGAGCCAGTAATCAGCCATGATCATTTCACATTTAGATTGTGGGGGTTCTTTTACTGGCAACGCATTGTAATTGCATAATTGCGACAGTTCAACTGATTTAACCTCATCGGTTAAAGGTTAGAGGTAACTACGCATGGACACATGTCATTCTGCCTGGAAGATGGCTTTCTGCGCGTGTCCAAAGCAAGGTTTAGCCGACCAAGATAAGACAGATTTTAAGAAAAGCCTCCTCTAAGACAGATACAGAGCTGGTGATTTCTAACTGGTTTATGTTGCCCACCTGTGCGTTCAGACTCGCAAGTTAAACCGGTTTAATGATCTCCTGGTTTTAAAACCAGTTTAACTTGCGCGGTTGAATGGGCTATTAGACCACTCCACCTATTCACGTATCTCGGACGGTTTACAGTAGTTTTGGACTGTTTCGTCTTGTCCAGAGATATACCGGTATTAATATATGACTTTCTCTAATTGTCTAAGGAACTGGGGTAGACAGGTTTGTAAGATAAAGTTCATAAAAATTGAATTACGTCGTGCGTTCTTTATAAATACCCGGCGCAGCACGGATATAGCCACCATGAGCCGGAAGTAGCATAACTTTGAAACCGGAAGTGGTAGTCCATCGTCTCTAGGCCTGTGTTATACCCCAGTCCGAACTATCACTATACACCAAATTCCTGCCTCGGACAGCCTTAGTGTAGCCGCCAACCGTGATAAGACAGACGGATAAACAAACGACAGTAAATAATATTAGTATAGATAACGTCAGAAGACGCTTGATTAAGGGCAGGCAGCTAGTTTATGATTTCATTTATATAAAAACGAAGAAGTAAAACTGATTTATTTATTTTAACAGTTCGCATTTTATTTTTTTATGTATATATATTTATTTACATTTTATAGTTTTTGGTAAAGGCATTTCTTTCTGTAAATGTGTTGTTTATTTCGTTAACCGCTCTTTGTATATCCGACCGGTCTCTGTTCAACGATAATTGAAAATTCCAGTTAATTTTTAAGTTACCCGCGGGTATCGATGTAAACCATTTCCTGCTTGTGCAACATGGTAGAAAAGCGCTGCAAAACATGTATACGAACTGATGAATACCCAGTTCCATCAGACATTGTACAAATAGTAAGCATCACCCAGCCTCCTAAAAATATCTGACAAGATTTACCAAAAATAGAACGCAGATTTCATTCACCCCTTTGCGGCTTATCGGTGATTATATTTAGTTTGTTTCCACCCACCCCCTCTATCTTACGATATCGGTAAGCACGGTAAACAGAATTGAAATTTTTTAAACAATGAGTCAATAGGGCGGTTCCTGAACGTACAGGGGGAATGTAACGAGAACTTAGCTCAGAGCTGCTCTTAAGGAAACCATGATGAAAAATCCTGGAACACTTTCTCGGACAGAAGGAACCAGCTTAATCAACTGCCGGAAAATAATTTGGAGAGAAAATGAAAAGAATGAATTGATTATATTAGAAATATCTAGCATGGCCTTTATTATAACCATATATGGCAAGTCAAAAGAGCAGACATAGTGATAAATATGGGGTGATGAACTGTGTATATATCGTGTTGGCTTATTATTATTGTCTGATTGATCGAACTGTGAGTAATGTTATCTCATTATTTGACATATGATGATATTCATACATAATATCAGTTGGCAGTTTATCATCCTCATAATGAGAGAGAGGGAGTGGGTGATAATTAGTCTGGTATATTATTTAACCAACTACTCAATAGAAAAGGAATTACTAGATATTGACTAATGATCCATTTCCTGTTAGTTTTCAGTGCTTATTCAGTATGCGCCCCCCCCCCCCCCAACAGCTTTTACGAATTTAGCCCTTCCTCATTTGTGTTTCCAATGGTTGAATATTTATACGGGATTCGTCGATATTTTGAAAGTTGGCTTGGGCTTATAACCTGATCTTGTTTCATGACCAGTTCCAAGATCAACAATGGTGCATCAAACAAATCATGATATATCTGTAACTGTCAAAAAGATATTGTAGTCAGCACCGGATAGACTTGACAGGCTGAATCCTAGCCTCAAGATCTAGGGGCGGGGGGGGGGGGGGCGGCGAAGACGTTGCCGTCCAAGGTGTATAACATTTTTATCCCTGCCATACGCCTTTCTTACACCATCATCTTCAACAGAGGCCTTGATCTCGTTTTAACTCCATACATCTTATCAAGGTCTTCACGTAATACCCTGCATGTTTCCTCACTATAACAATGATCCAGCTGGGGATCTCTCAGATTCCTTGATATAAATTGTCATCGCGAATACCGAGTCTCCCGCTTTCCAGCTAAAATGTCTACCTGTGATAATCGAGTTGCTAAGTTCAAGGTTCGTTCAATGTATGGGTTTCCATGGATGTCGCCGTGTTTAATTTGAGGGTGTTCGCGTAAAGGGAGATAACTTACCTATAAGTTCAGTATAATCTAGCAACTGCTAGATGCGCGTTGCATCATAAGGTTTGTCATTGAGTCTACTGGCGTGGTTTCGATTTCTTCCCTGGTTGTATGAGAAACGGATTAGGGTCGCCTGTCGAACCTCGTGGGGTTTCCTCCCACTGGTAAAGACCCCAACGCGCCAGCGAATTATTGAAATAAAATTGAACTATATAGTAAGTGCAGGGGGACAGCACCACACAAAATTTACACAAAAAAAACCCAAATACACGGACAGGACATCATACTCAGGGAAACACAAACATACAGACAATTAAAAAAAAGTGAATGGATCCGGGGGCTAGCCGTAAGCGTCCACTGCGCTGTACAGTCTGTAGTGACACTCAAGTTTGTATCGAGATGACGTTAATCCCCGTATCTGTCTCTCTCTCTCAGTTGTGTTTAAAACACACTTTGGCCTTCCTGTAGTAGTGAGGGTGGGGGATTGGGTGGAATAGCGTTGCACTGTTGCTCGAGGGTGCCGGTATTAAAAGTGAGAAAAATAAAAATACATAGACTATTTATAAACTTTTATTACTTACACATAACTGTTGTGGCAGCGATAGAAATAACGTGACGTCATCTCTAGATGTAACAACATAACTCACAAAAAAACATATTATAATACAATTACACATATACAACAATATAAATAATAATAATAATAATTACATAGTTTATATTACATTGGATTATTATATAGATAGATAAAGATATTATTTAAACAAATATTTATTGTTACAGACAGGGGTGGACTGGGTAGATCTGGGCCCCCCACCGCGGTGAAGATTTTTTGTAGGATGAGAAAACGGAATTAGCTTGATTCACCTTTACCACACCTCACTCGGATTTAGGCCGTTATATTTTTCATTGGATGCGAAGATAGATTGAATTTATTTTGAAATAATATATGTCGATGGATCCCTGGCGGCCACGTCCGACGGCCCGAGGCCCAGTCTGTACTTGTTGTGGTTACATATTACATTAAAATATGTAAATTCCATAATTCTGGTAAATAAGGATGGGTTTTTTTTCGATAAGGATCTTCGATTGCAAACTGGACAAAGATATACATCTTAAACTTCCCCTCATTCGACTATTACGTCATCTACCCTTGATAAGGATGGGTCTTGCTTGATATGTTACTGTCCTTGCAAACTAATCCTGCAAAAGAACCCTTTCACGCCCATTGGCCTTATTAGCTGACATGACAAGGGATAAGGGCAATATGCTGATAGGGGGCAATCGGTGTTTAAAACGCATTTAGTTCTCCAGAGTTGAACCCCTAACACCTAATAAACATTCGATAAATAGTTGAATAAGAGATTAGAGTTAAAAATAATGTATATAAAATTTGATTTTCTTTTAAATGTGTTAAATGAGCGTTAGACAGGGTGAATATAATATCCCTTTTAAATATGTCGGAATAGGGATAAAATGAATTAGAAAATTTACATAAAAATCTGATTTCCTTTTAAGGTATGTTATTACCCTGTTGTCGAGTTTCTATGGTGATGAAGTTTAAAATACTACAGTTGTTTCAACAACACATTGAGCAGCTAATATTACATAAAATAGAATTTTAAACCATTATGACATTCATATTAAATATGCCCCCATATAGTTCTGTTCAATAAATATCTCTATCAAATTCTGAAAACCTGGGCCCGTAATCATCAAACGTCTTAATTCCGTGAAAATTATGAATCAAAATATCTACGATAGATAATCCCCCGTCTTAGATTTTAAAGGGACGCAGACGATTTTAAGACTTAATCATACGTATCGTGTTGACTATATCCTAATCGGCTGCAGTGAATGGCGTTGACAAATTTTAAATTTAAAGATACATTATAGGAGATTAGATAAAGAGCTGGTAGTTCTCACTATAATAATTAAAAAATAGATAATGTAAAGGGAATTTACTAAAAATTTCAGTCAAATTGATCCACTCTGAACCGAGATTTTAGCGATTGAATTTTCGACCTAGCCTCGATCATCATTACTAAAGTCGGCACGATAAAAAAAAAACCATAGTCTCGATGGTCCATTTCATTATTAAATTATAAATGGAAGTTGAACAGGAAATCGGAACCTAATCCAATAAACATCACAGGCTAGCGAGTTGGTTATTATGGTCTGGATAAGTTAATTAATGTCTAATTAATAGTTTAGATAACATTTCAGGCCTAAAGAAAGACCTGCAATAGGCAGATTTAGCTCTTGCATAATGTATGTTTAACATATCTTTCTAAATACTGATCGGAATTGACCATTTAAGGGCACATATCCTTTTAGAGATTCATCTTTCAAAAGACTGTAGTGTTCAAGGGATTAACTATCGCTAACATTAGAGACTTTAACACTAGCGGTACCCCCAACAATAGGGCCACATACAATTTCTGGTTTTCAGAATTAGACTGAAATACTTATCAAGCAGAACAATATTTGTGGGGTCAAATATATGTACACATATTACGAATAGTTCATGATAACAAATATACAATGGAATATGACAAAAACAAGAATGTCGTTTAATTATTATTTAACGCAAACATAAACCACCCCTACTGCATATACATGATGAACGCAATAGGATTATTGCATAAACATTGGTATAAAATATAGCATCAACGTTCGTTTAGTTTTGTGTGTAGGAGTAGACCACATGTTAATAATATATGAATAGTAGCCTCACTGTTATGCATGGAGATTGACAATGGTTTTTACCCTTCCACTGTGACTTAATATTGTACCACGCCTCTTTTCGGCAGAGACAGTTACATGTATATCTTCTTAATTACGTAATGGTAGATACGATTTGTTATACAGATTCCTGTTTGGTTTTTTTACTGCAACGACTTTAGTATAACTTATTACCGGTATATGTAAGAAAGGCTGTTCATGCCACTTTCGATATGAACACGTAACGACGTCGTATATCTGTTGAGTGTGTATCAGGGAAACATTTCCAAGACGGTAAGATTTGATAACAATATCTGCCCATTATTTTCCCAAGCGACTCAAGTTTTAATATTTTTTTTTATATTTTTGAAACTCCTTCTTAATCTGATAATATTGAACCCCTTTCAATGGGCCTTTCAACAATTCTCTACACAATATACAAATATTGGAGATTAAGAACTACAAGAGGCTACATATCACCTTAGCTTTCCCCATAACGTTTATTCTCAGATATTGTCTTACTCTAATTGTTTACCTAATTTGCGTTTGGTATAACGCCTTTTACTACAGATGGAGCTAAGTTTGGTAACGTCTTGCTCCAAATCTTAAGATACACAAACCGAAAGTAGCATACAATAAAAACATGTAACGATCCGCTGTGCTTTTTCAACGTAACCAACCCCTGAGGTGGAGTTGGGTGTGGGTGGGGACCCACAGACGTGTGTTCATTTCTGTGTGCGCACCCTCAGTGGAAGCGAACACTTAGCCCTAAAAACGAACCAGCGGAGAATTAAAGGTGGTCTGTATCCAAAGGATATTCAGAGCTTCTACTCAGTTTATTAATCTCCCATGGATTATGGTGGAGAACCTGTAAATGTAGCGGGATTATCTGAAGAAGTAATTTAATTTTAACGGCAACATAAGTGACGTGTGAAAGATAAATTATATTTCACCGAGTTGTTTTTAAAACTTGGTTAAAATTAAAAAATAGGAAAATAACAGATTACGTCATAAAATGCAGGATGTTCTTTATTCACACTGACCATTTTGGAAAGTTGGCCAGTATCGCAAATGGAGTTAAGTGACGACATATATTACGTCACAGCAATGATTTAATCGGGATATGATCGATTAATCGATTAACAAACGTCATTGATTCATTTTAAAAATGCGATGAATAATAACAGTTGAGCAATTTTTGCCCACACATTAAAGCATTATTTGATATTCACAGTTTGTTTTTCACAGTAAATGATGATGAGCTTTGTTTAAGATTAAACTTTGTGATATTTTTTCAACACACGTCTACAAGCAGAAATCAGACACAAATCACAAAAAAATCAGAGGTTCAGAGGTCATGTCAAAACGTATTTTATGCAGTATAACGTTAAACTCAGCAGACTGGATAATAACACAACACTAGTCTCGAACCTCCTGCACGCACTTATCGGATTGGTTCTTGGACCTAAAATGAAAGTAAACATGTTTCATAAATAAAATAAAACCAAGTACGAACAATCCAAACCATTAGACAAAATTCGAAGTCCTAAAAAAAACGGTATAGGCAAAATAGTGTAATAAGGCAATATATTGTAATCAGCATATGGACTGTTTATCGTGTACAAAATACACGACAAACAGTGGTAACAGGTGTCCGGAAGAGTAAGCTTATGTAATTTAAAAAGAAAATTATTACACGAAATAAAAATTGTTAATTGTGCGAATTTCTCAAATAAATGAAAAATGGTATCATGACATCATTATACTTAGGTTGGTTTGAGACTAACGTACGGTCGTTTTTATAGTTATTTGCCGGGGTGATTTTGACCGCCCCGGTATACCCACAATGCGTTACTCATTGCCAGACACTCAAAATGTATAACGCGATGAGCCGTTCTTGTTGTCTGTACGAAAAATCATTCAGTGACTTACAAGGCTGGTATTTAAAGAGCCCCACTCCCTACATTTTTTGAAAACGAAAATGATCATTGGGAATTTTTGTAGGAATTATATTTCGGTGCTTAGAAAGCTGATATTAAAGGACAATATTAGTGTCAGTCATTATGTGATAGAACTGGTAAACACATTCCAGATATAATTTTAACACAGAGATCATTGCTAGGGTAGATGCGTAACGAAAAAACGGAAGTGACGCAAAAAATGGAAAACAAGAGTTATCCTTCCATGTGACTGACTGAAGTAACGAGCGATAAAAAGATACACGGTGGAATTTTAGCTAACTAATAATTCCGTTATATGAGCTGTTATATGATATTGTGCGCGGATATTTTTGGCGTCACTTCCGTCTCTTCAAATCTTCGTTACGCATCTAGCAATGATCTCTGTGTTAAAATTATATTTGGAACGTGTTTTTTGATAATGCTGACACCAATATTGTCCTTTAAAAGATCTCTATTCACGATAATAATAATTGGATTTTATTACATAAATACCTCTGGTTTGTTACTGGACGATCTCTTTCATTTGTAGGATTTTTGAAAACGCAAATGATCATTGGGAATTTTTGTAGGAGTTACATTTCGATGGCTTACAAAGCTGATATTAATAGAGCTCCGTGTGCTACCTTTTCTTTTTGAGAATGAAAATGGTCATTGAGATATTTTTTTTGGTTATAAATACCTGGATAAATCTGATTAGTTACTGGACGACCTCTTTCATTTGTAGGATTTTTATGTGGTTTAGATGTTGGGTTCAGTCTATCTTTCTCCCACCCACCCTCTTCTACCCAACCTCGATTTGAATCACCACCACCGTCGCCATTTCTGGAAATGCCTCCTCCATTATTCGCCCAACTGCCAACGCCACCGTTGACGTCTATCTCGTATTGTAAACCGTATGTCGTAGTGGTGGTCGTTGTTGTATGGGTTACAACCGGATCCGGTTCGATTACTCAAAATAAAAAGAGAAAAGGTAAATACAGTCACTCTTAAAAACTAAATCTAATTGCACTTTGTGGCCGTTAGTTCTTCCTTCCACAGAAATCAGCTGATATTCCATTGGTTAAGAGCTAAACCGGGATGAACTTAAATCATAAAGTCGTACCAAGTTCCAGGGAACTTTAGTCAACAAACATCCCAATGGGAGTACCAAGTTCCAGTAACAATAGCAAACGCAAATACTTATTGAGAGGGAGCTCGAGGTGCCAGCCGTTATCGTAAACATACACACAGACTGGAAGGCAGTACTCGGTTCCAGAAACTATAGTACGCTTAAACCCTAAATGGAAGGTAGTGCCACATAAAAATAGTGTCGGAAAAACCTAACTTAAAGTAGCGCCAATTTCCAGCCGCTATAGCATCATGTTCAAGATACTGTAGCAAACTGTTCCAATAACAATAGTAAACTTAAACCACAACTGGAAGGTTGTACTTAAGCTCCGGCAAACTGTTGTCCACTTAAACACAAACTGAGAGAGCGCGCCAAGTTCCGGTAACAATAATAAACTTAAAACCCTAGAAAGGCGGTACCTAGTAAGTGCAATCATTAGTCAATTTAATTTCTTTCTGTCAGATAAAAACTAGTACCAAGTTCCGATAACAATAGTAAACCTAAACCCTAGAACTGAAAGGTAGCACCCAGTAACAGTAATCATTACTAAATTTAAACTCATTCTGTCAGATAAAAGCTAGTACCAAGTTCCGATAACAATAGTAAACCTAAACCCTAGAACTGAAAGGTAGTACCAAGTAACAGTAACAATAATTAACCTAAACCCTAGAACTGACAGGTAGTACCCAGTAAGTGCAATCATTATTAGTAAATTTAATCCCTTTCTGTCAGATATAAGCTAGTACCACATTCCAATAACTATAATAAGCTTAAACCCTAGAACTGAAAGGTAGATACCCAGTAAGTGCAATCATTGGTAAATTTAATCCATTTCTGTCAGATAATATCTAGTACAAAGTTCCAGTAACAATAATAAACCTAAACCCTAGAACTGAAAGGTAGTACCCAGTAACAGTAATCATTACTAAATTTAAACCCTTTCTGTCAGTTAATAGCTAGTACCAAGTTCCAGTAACAATAGTAAACTTCAACCCTTGAACTGAAAGGTAGTACCCAGTAAGTGCAATCATTGGTAAATTTAATCCCTTTCTGTCAGATAATATTTAGTACAAAGTTCCGATAACAATAGTAAACTTAACCCCCAACTGAAAGGGAGTACGAAGTTCCAGAAAACTATAGGAAGGTGTCAAGTTTCGAATCATGTTATGCACAATCATTAGGTTTGAAATCCAACGAACTTTCAAATAAAATATATATATATACCATATAATATCATATCTTCTGCATCTTTGCCCAGCGGATTACTGCCCTCACATGTATAAGAACCATAATCACTTGATTCTAAATCCATGATGCGCAAACTCAGAGTAACCATTCGGTTCTCTTCGTCGGGGAATACCTCTATTGAATATTTATCACTTTTTTGTTGAATTTTCTGACCATTCCTTTTCCATACCGTGATGCTATGTGGGTGAGCGTAGATTATACACTCCAGAATTGTTTCCTTGCCCCTCCTCTGTCCAATTCGTTTATTTGTCAATACTACCTCAGGAGCAACTGAAATGAATCAATAAGCATATAGAGAGATCGACTTGTTTAAGACTGGCCAGTGTTTGTTTTGTATTAGAGCCTTACTTCTAGTTAACTGTAATAACACGGCGGTTATCTTTGATATCTTTTCGGTTTGTTTGGCTGGCATTATTCTTGATATTTTAGTCGTAGTCAATGACGCTTCGATACACTCAGATTTAACGCCTTCTTTGTGTGACAACTCGATCTTATATGCCCTCAAGATGAAATCATATTGGCAAGAATGTAAATGAATTTCTTTTGGCCATTCGTTAGCGGAACACATGGATTAAATTGTTTTATCAAGAGCAGAGATTGTTCGAGTCATCCGGGATGAAACAGTTGAAAGCAACTAAGGGGCAATATTATCCACGGTACATCAATACCGCACGCAGTATCTGAGGTGCTAAAATATTGAAATTAATTTAATAATAACATATCTAATTGAGGGAAAACACGACATGGGGAGTCAATAATGTTATATGACACTGACTGTGAGCTGGGTGTTTGTTCGCGAACAATAATTGTGGCATAAAATGGGGGTATAATGTCTGATAACATACAATAGGATATACATGAAAAATCAAAGACTTAACGCAGAATACTGTTGTTTAAAGTCCAGTAATAATAAGTTATTAAGTCATTTGAATATTTCTTAGGCATTATGGTCTTAGTTCTTAGTTCGATTCGTTTTGCTATGTTCAGGCTTTTTGTGTGTTCATACACCTAAATCTTCTGAGATTATTTAACAAAGACCAACCATTTACATTAATGGTATGAGAATCCACGGGGAGATGCAGGAAATTATAAAGCCACGTATAGAGTGGAATCCAAAAGAAATCTGGAAAAGTGACTGTTAAAGGACGGAGAAAGAATTTTATAGTCACACATCACATTTTGTGGCTTCTGACCCGTGTAAAATTACCCTTTTCTTAACTGAAAAAGTGGCAATTAGACCATATGCCTGCAGTTTTGGGAGAAACAAGTCAGATCATTAAGGCATCAAGGAGTTATTTCCAGAAAACTGTCTTCATTAGCTCAGTCGGAGCAGAACAGCAGGACGTTAAACACCAATTCATTGGAGAGGAATGCTTTCTGTTTGGATATATCAACTCTCCTTCTGGCACTTGGAATTCTTTTTTTAGATATTTACATCGCAGATGGTGGGTTTACATGTGTTACAAGGTTCAGGGGTGAACTCCCTCTGGTGCTTGGAATTCTGTTTTTATAGATATTTACATTAGGATAGTTGGTTCTAGATGCGTTTTAAAGTTTCGAGGAGGTCAATTCCCTCTGGCACTTGGAATTCTGTTTTAATTTTTACATTGCAGTTGGTGGGTTCTGGATGCGTTTTAGGATTCCCCCGTCTTCATTAGCCCTGTCGATGCAGATTATTTCATTTTTTCGTTTTAAGGTTCCCAAATTGAATGAAGCATACTTACACTGTACTTCAACACGAATAGCTTTACTTCTAGGTGGTGGCACTCCATTATCTACCACACATTCGTAGATATCATCACAGTATCGTGAAACATTATGAATTAATAAAGCACCTCCTTCTAAACCAATTTCTATAAAAACAGACACACGTTATAAATAATTAAACAATCAATTGTCATACGTTTAATTAGGTCAACTAGACAGACAAAAAAATATTGATCAAATTATGTCACAGAATCCCCCTAACACGGTTCTTTTTTTATATTTCCGTAAGGTCAGGACAAAAAAATACCCGTGTTTACGGTTAATTAACCCCGCAAAATAGGGTCGGTCGGAAAATCTTTTTATTTTTTAATATTTTACCCCCATTCGACAGTAGCCATGTTAGTTCGGTATATATCTTTTAAGTAACTACTCAATGGAAAAAAGGAAAGTGTTAAGCAGTAAAAACCTCAGGATTCTGAAATACAGGTCATCACCGTATGAGTGGCTCAGTAAGGAACGGTGGGACTAAAAACCGAGGGCCCGTGCACACACTGGCGTGCACGTAAAAGAACCTTGACAGTTTGAATTCGAAATAAAAGTAGGCCATAGTGCTACTGTCCTAGAATAATTTCCCTCATAGCACATTATGGCGTATCCCCGTCTTCATAGTCTTGTTGGTACAGAAAAGTAGGACGTTAAACGCCATTTCATTTCACTAAGTAAACCTCTTATCGACAAAAGTTTAATTATAACCTATAACCATCACAGGCAGAATAACAATTCCTATTATATTATTTATTAATCATACCTAACCTTTGTCAAACTCCATACTTACTTTCTTTATACCCATTTCCTTTCCGGAAGTTACGTTTGTACCACGTGACATTTGGCGCCGGAATACCCGTGACGTTACATATCAATTCTGCCGTTTCTGTTTCCTGTTTAACAACTAAATCTGATGAATATTTACTGATTATCATTGGTGGAACTGAAATACAGAATATATATTAAAACTTAATATGAAGAATACAGTCCATAGAACATAATATAAAACCAAAGACAAACAATCCAAACCATAAGACAAAATTCGAAATCCTATAAAAAACGGTATTGGCAAAATAGTGTAATCAGCAAAAGAACTGCTCGTTTTTGGATTTTTTTTGGGAGGGGGGGATGAACTTCTCATGAAATTGGTAATATAGGTATAACTTACATACAAGAATAGCCCAGAAATTGATTTGGGTGTAGTCAGGATCATATCCCCGATACCATGAGGAATTTTCCTGTGCATTGGCCCCCAAACAATGTGTTACTATTGTTTTGCAGGGTAACCACGTCGGCTAGGCGAGTATGGTTCTTTATAACCTAAAGTTCCTGGGTTCGACCCCGGTGCTGATCTAGAAAGTTCCTCGGGATATTTCAGCATGGGGTTCCCATGTCGGTGGTATCCGAACCTATAAAATCATAAATTGTGAAACAGGAGAAAAATAATAATGAATACGGAATTAACTCACCAAATACTGACAAAGTGACAAGTTTTGCTTGAATAGGAACTGTATTAATTTCACATTTATATGTACCACTGTCATTGTGTCTCACATCTCTTATATGTAGATTCCATTCTTTTATATAGGGTCTTTCAACACTGATTCTATGGTCATCTATCATACGTCTGTCAGCGTGACTTATCAGAGTTTTTCTGGGACTCGACCATATCACCTGCAAGAGAAACATGAAGACCTAGTCATCAACATCCCATGCACCTTGTAAACCTCTAAAAATGAAATAAAATTTATTTTCGTGGAAACACACACATTAAAGGCACAACTATTACATTAGGTTTTTCTAGGACTCGACAATATCACCTGTAATGGGAACTCATTTCTAAATAACGATTGTCGATTACATTAGGTTGACTAATGGGATATGTTCCGGAAACAAAACCAGGACGGAAGGGCGGACGGAGCCCATTTCAATAAAAGTGAAGAGCTTTGCTTGAAGTGGTACAGTATTAATTTCACATTTGTAAACATCGTTCGAAGCGGGGATAATAGGGTTAAGCATAAAATCAGAAGAATGCTATATGTTCATGCAATTATTGGATCTATTGTCTAGCAAGTAGAATTGTTATTGCTGTTGATAATCTTCTTATCTGAAAAGAGTATCGCATACGAAACCTATGCTGTCTGTCTACAATTAGCATTGCTTGAGAACAGACACGACGCTGGTTGGCCGACATTTTAATTCCTATATCGACGTTTTTGGGCGAAACATTAAATATACTTGGAGTATTTATTCTGTTTCTATTTAATACCTCGGTGGAAGCGGACGTTAAAAAAAGCTATTTCACACAATACATCTGAAAATGTTTATTTAGTAATTGTGGGTATGAAAGATATAAAGCGGATTTGAATCGCATTACAAAACAACTTTTGACTATGAAAGTAGACGGTTCTCTATGTGCAGAGCAATAGTATCGGTTTTCACTTCTAACCAAATCGTATTTACCACTTTCAGATAATGTAAACACGAAAGCAATATAGTTCAATGTCTCGATAACATGCTTACTCAGATCGGAACACTTGATACCACCTAATAAACACGGTTAATTGTTGAAAATCCAGCCATGAAACTACTGAGAGTAAAATATTGTTTTTCCCAACCGTAGATCTTTCTAAAATTTTACATCGGATTAAATTGGACACCTCCCTCTCTTTATCAGAAGTTGGAAAAGAAAAGCTACATGATTTGGCAGGCGATCCTACGGTTTTGTGACATCCAAACCTGTCGTGATCTGCGGCCCTCGGTTGTGCGGTCTGCCTGCAATTAGGTGTTGAAGGAAACAGACCAGCCTATTCTCAATCGATTCAATGACAGATCGTATGTTCTAAAGCGGGCCCGGGGGTTGGATGGCTGAATGGTTAGCGTGCGCGCGCTGTATCATAAAGTCTGTCATTGAGTCGACTGGCGTGGTTTCGAATCCCCGGTTGTACGTGACAAGGAGTAGGGTCGCCTGTCCAACCTCGTGGGTTTTCTCCAGGTCCTAAAGATTTCTCCTACTGCTAAAAACCCTACGTGCAAGCGAATTATTGAAATAAATTTGAACCATGTGTTAGTCCCGAAATGACCTAGTTTGTGTCGAGTGGACGTTAAACCCCATCTCTCTCTCTCTCTCTCTCTCTCTCTCAAGCGGACCCATAATAAATACGATGAAAAAAGACTAATAATATAAGAAACAACTACTATATTACAAAGTTTCAAAATTATATCTTTTATTGTTTATATGATGATATGCTACGGAAACAAATCCGGACGGAAGGACGTACAGACCGACCGAGCCATTTTCAATATCCCTCCCGTAAATTTGTTCTGCGCGGTATAATAATTCAAGTATATGTACATAAAAAGATATATAACTACAACAGTAACCCAAGAGCAAGATTTACTACAAACAATTGATTTATAATGAATTTGAAGAAAAAGCCAAATAAAGTTGATTTGGTGTATAGTGATTGAGTTGTTGAGTTAATGAAGTGAGCAGGTGGCTACAACTTGTTTATTATTGGATGGAATGTATCTGAGTTACCATAAACTACATCATATATGTCAACTACAATTCCCACAGTGCTATAACATATAGTTACAGTTATCTTTCAATTATATGGACACAGCTCACCAATTATTCTTACGCCGTCACGAAATAAACGCCAAGGCTATTTCTAGTCACCCCCCCCCCCCCTTTCACATTCTCCCCCTTTTGCATGGCGATCTTTGTTGACTTTTTGGTGTAGAATTGGAGAAAAGGGTTTGGATATACATTCTGGTGACTATTCGTCATTTTGAAGCGGCGGACGAATACAAAAGTTATGAGGTTGGTTAGCTTGAAATGTAGAGCCGAAAATTGCATGTTTACTTGTCTCTACTTCCAGCTTGTGTATCTCAAGTTTTTCATGATGAACCTCATAAGTGTTTTTTGGCAAGAGGTTGCCACGTGTTGCTCCATCTGTGGTAGAAAGCGTCGGTCTATGAGACGAGAATTAACATTAAAGTCAATGGGGAAATCATTGGTGATCTGTGGCCATATTACATTGTATTCACAATTTCCGGCTTCACCGCTCAACATGGTCGCTCTGAACAGAGCCGATGTCGCGGTTGTACCCGGTGTCCGATTCGAATCAGCACCTTATAGGGGGTATATAATGTTTGCAAAATGAAATGCACCGACGGGTACCATATTTGACTTTTTTGTTTTATTTACAAAGAGCGAATTTACTCTTGATAATGAAATGTGTGTACGGTTTTGAAGCACAGCTTTCGTAAATGAAATGTGATTCGGTGAGTGAAACGGTACACCTCGATCATCATTTTGGTTTCGGGCTCTAAAGGTTTTAAGAATAATTCGACCAATTCATTATCGCTCAAGTGGATTTCTGGAAAGGCACACCACAATCAGAATTGTGGTTACAGGCTCAAGGGGTGGTGTCGGGGGTGGAAATTTGTGAAAAGGTATACTATAATCGTCACATTGATTACGAGCAATATATTCTAGTTCCCCGTCTTCATTAGCCCAGTCGGAGCAGAACAGTAGCAGCCTACTTGAAACCCCATTTCATTTCATTTCATTTTCTAGTTCAAAATTTGAACTAACATGCCCAAAGGTAATTAATTTACAGGACAAAGGCTATTATATTAATTCAGTTAATATGTAGTCTGTCGCCTCATCTATCAACCAACTACACAGCCAGTCGGTGATTAAGATTACAATTCGATACTATTCCCGAATCGGCCTGGATCAAAATACGGCAATACGGCTACAGGATATCGACATAGCTTTCCCTCGCGATTTAAATATGGCGCCAAAATTACTTACCGTGTGCTCTCCGCGGAATTCAACAGTGCAGGGTAGGATGGCCTTGTTTCCGGCTATCACAGTCACGTGTTCTGGTGTCTGGTTAAATTTGGGCTTTAATTCCCCTAAAGCTGAAACATACAATGATAATAATTGGTTAAATAAATAAAACAGGGCAAGATAATTGGCTAAACCAATAAATGATACGTCAAATATAGGAAATCCTGATCGACAACATCTGTCTATTGCAGATTAGGTTTCAATATTTTAAGTTCAGATAATATGATTTAAGGCGTATTTATGATGGCCCGTGTGGTATATCGTGGTGGCACTGTCATCTTATGACGGATTGTTGACCAACCGACTGTAATGGCATCGCTTGCGTTTATTTGTTTTAATATTTCTTTCCTCGTGTATCGTGTAATTTTAGTCGAGTATAAAATGAATAACATAACATAATATTGTGTTTGTTTTACTGTTTTTCTTGCATTAACTGTGATAAATGTGTAAATGGCATATTATTCTTTTGTTGTTCCACAGGGAAAATGTTTTGTTAACATTTATGAATGTGCTTATAACTTTCATATGTATATTTTGATTTACGGTAATGTGAAGCGACGTTTGGGTTGTAAATGATTAAATGTCGTAAATATTTATTTTGTGTATGCAAATGATAAATATTTTTTGTTAATATTGTTAAATTTTTGCATATTTGATTTACAGTTAAATTAGTATTATTCAGTATTTAATTCATCTATGAAGAGAAGTCACTGTGCTGTTTTGCTCATTAGGCAAGACCAAGTCCCTCCTCCCCGCCAACCCCACTCCCCTCCTAAAAAGAAATCGACAGGTGTTTAATAGAATAAGTTAAACACAGAAGACTTGACATTGCTAAATTTATTTTAAATTGCGAAAGTAAATAATACATAAATTTTGCGATTAAAAAAACATACAATCTGCGCATCTTCTCGTAATGGCGGATCAGTTAAAACGTATTTTGCTTATGTTTTATTAGTCGCAAAATTCTACTTAAAAATAGTGTTGAATTATTATAAATTTGTGTCACATATGGCGTGAAATGATTCCTTTTGGTAAATAGAAAAGAATCACGGTGAAAAATAGAAGGAAAGGATTCCAAAATAGCCTTAGCACAGAGGTGGGCGTAGAGCGGGATTTTCATATTTCAGCTTATTAGGGACGATCAGGAACTGTCAGGGGACAGCGTCCGATCAGAGACCGTTCATTAAGGAACTACCTGAAACCCGGAACGAAATTAAGATCTTACTCTAATTAGTTTCGGGACACTCTCAAATCATCATCTGTTAAAACATTTTGTTACTAATACAATGTACATGTAGATCTTGTGTTGAATTAATTTGCCATGACATGTCTGTTAAATATGCCAGAACATGATCTGTTGGTGTTCTTGTGCGTATAAAATAGCCTAGAAATATATTTCTGATGAGTAACTACAACTTGAATCGTATCAATAAACCAAAAGGAGATTTTTATATTGCCTGTTCTAGTCTCATATACCACGTTAACAGGCCTGATATCAACATGCAAATACGAAGCGATGGCTAGTTAACTTAATTCCCAACAGTTCTGATACGATCGTCTGCTACAATTGACACAGACTAAGTTTCGTAGTTTCTGGAGGAGAGTTAAGTTGTATCAATTTGATACTCGTTTGTTTCTGTGCGAAAGATGTATTACTAATACGGTAATGAAGTTAGCCAACATTTATTGTACATGATGTCATTGGATCACGTGATCCCCACTATATCATGCAATTTTGTCTCAGAATAATGAAATCTACATACGAAATTTGGCGAACATGGTAAAAAACCTGGTCACAAATAGGAAAATTGACCACCGACAATATGTTTTCATTTCACAAGGCAGATTATGCAATTAGATAAAGATGGTGAGGCCAGGAAGGGTAGTGTGTTGAAGGCCGGGGTTCGCTACGGATATCTGGAAAATTCGGATGAAGTTTTATCTATGGCAAACTTGGTGGCTATTTCGCAACTTTATGACGATGAATATTTATCTGAATATTTCCCAAGTACGCGGAGCCTTAAGGCATAGTAAAATATCCAGATCCTAAGATCCACGGCACATCATCCCGTTGGGCCAGCAGGTTACGCCTCCATCACCAAACACACAAAACTAAATGTTACAAAAGAGATGACGATGCTCAAAAAGTAACCGGGGTTGTAACTTATTATAACAAACGTACTTTCAAAACATGTTTGAAATCCAGACCTATTGTTTTTTTAACATTCAGAATAATAGTCCATTTAAAATTACACATAAAACAGTGAAAATTTAACAATTTGCTGAACTATTAGGAACTATTATTCTTGAATTATTACAGTCTGATTAAAACACAAATCTTATTTCGTTTCCTTTTTTATAGCTCAAAATTTTGTTTTACTTGTCTTTACTGCATTAGGGTCTTGAAGGGTTGTTATATAACCCGTGTTCTGCTTGATGTGAGGGATTAGCCAATGAAACGGTCTGTTGTTGCGAGTTCTTGGCGTACGATGCACGGAACTGTGGATATCCTACTAGAAACACCAACGCTGATTGTTTAATCAAATTTCCGACGTCATAGGGTCAAAAACCGCTCGTATGACCCCTGCCGCCACGCCCACTGGAACTGGTCAGATCTTCATGCAGTAGGGGTTATCGAAAGTATATAAAAAAAAAAAAGGAAACGAAATATAGATCTATATTTTAATCAGATTAAAATTATAAAAAAATCACAGATATCGAATTTAAATTTACCCTGGTTTTTTTTTTAATTAAATGTAGACTCTTCTCTGTGAATATTATATCTGGGACTATTATTCAGCAATCTAGAAATTGTGCGTTAATCACGAGGGATTTATATTTATAATATAACATAATTACATGACTAGACAGATTTACCCAAATCTAATTGTCATTCGGTTCACCGTGGCTGATTGACATGATAACACATCGCAACAGTCGATATAGGATAACACTGATTTTAAAGATAAATCTGGATTGATTCGTGTAAATGGAAACGGATAGTAATTTTACACAAGTATTATATATATTTCATTAATTAACCAATCTTTATTTCATTGAACAACAAAAATAGCTGTTCGGTCACTTCACCAATTGTTTCTACTGTATTACATTATTACAAGGGAGCCACAGTGGCCCTGTGAATAAGGCGCTCGCTCACTAACCAGAGTGACCCGGCTTTGATCCGGGCGTTAGCTGGGAAAAGTCCTGGGGAATTTTCAGCGTGTGTTTCCCTAGTCGGTGGTCCAGGACGGAGGGCATGGTAAGGAGCCGTGTCTCGTCGATGGGGCGTTACAAAAACCCTAGATCCTTTGTACACGTTGGCATACACGTAAAAGAACACATGACTTAAGATGAAGAGTAGGCGGAAACGCCGGTGTCCTGGAAGTATTTCCCTTAAGTGACATTGCATAGCGTGTTTATTAGCTAGGGGGTTGGGTAGCCGAATGGTTAACGCGTGCGCGTTGCATCATAAGGTCTGTCATTGAGCAAAGTGGCGTGGTTTCGTTTCTCCGCTTGTACGTGACAAGGAGTAGGGTCTTGTGTCCAGCCTTGTCGATTTTCTCCGAGTCCTGGTTTCCTTTCACTGCAAGCGAATTTTTGAAATACAATTAAACCATGTGTTAGTCGCAAAATAATCATAACCTATTTTGTGTCGAGTGGACGTTAAACCCAATCTCCCATTTTATTTCATTTGTCCGATTGGTGCAGAAAAGTAGTTAAATGGTGCAGAACAGTGTGCGTCGCATAGGCCAACGTATAGTCATTCAGATAGGACGAAAATCCGAGGTCCCGTGTACACATTAGTGTGCACGTAAAAGATCCCTTGGCAGTTGGAATTCGATATAAGAGTAGGACGTTGTGCCCCTGTCCGGGCAAAATTTCCCTCATAGCACACTGTATGGCTTAAGGTCGTCTTCATTAGACCAGTCAGAGCAGAACAGGGGACGTTGAACTCCATTTCATTTGCATAAAAGTAAGACGTTAAACCACAAATAGACAACCATAAATGTTTGTTATCTCAATGGGGGGAGGGTGGATAAGGCCTGTCATTGAGTCAACTGGCTTGGTTTCGAATCCTCGGTTGTTCGTGGCAAGGAGTAGGGTCGCCTGTCCATCCTCGTGGGTTTTCTCCGGGTTTCCTCCCACTGCTAAAGACCCCTACGCGCAAGCGAATTATTGAAATAAAATTAAACCATATGTTAGTCCCGAAATGACCTAGTTTGTGTCGAGTGGACGTTAAACCCAATTTCTCTCTCTCTCTCTTGTTATCTCAAACGTATATTACTTAGATGATGGGACATCTTCTTGCTTGTTCCAGAACACTCAATAACAACTCCCTGTTATTTTGGAAATTTGAATAGTCTGTAATTTCTGTGGTATATTGAAATAAATGATATTAGAATTAAACAAATTATGTCCATCCTATTTTTGATCTTGTACTAGAATTCAGATCATTGGATGAAAAGTGCTAGTATAGCTACTGTCACGTTTTCTTTTCTATATCTACAAATGTAATATTTCGAACTTTCAATAACAGATCAACTAAAATCTATTTGATAGAAGTCCGTCTTCCTGCCATTGGTCTTTAAGACGATCGTATGTTGATTTTAGAATTAAAATCAAGCCGAGAGAAGTACATCTTCAATCAGTATATTTCTGCTGTCTATTGAGAACTCGCTGACCACTCGCTTCATTTCATTGAGTGTATCTACTCTTGGTTCAGTCGATTTAATCGCAGCGGTCATTTGCTGGTCATTTTCTTTTGGAATTAATGCAAGGAAAATGACCGTCCATTTAATACGTCTGGTAGCTGACTCATCGCCATGGTAAATCTTTTATCAAACAATGAATCAACGTATCATTAATTGAATCTACTTTCATTACCCCTCCCCTCCTTCATCCTTTATAACAACCCACTCTTCAATAGGCTGGACAACAAGAGACTCTTATAACCCCCAGGTCTACACTCTTCATTATAGACCTTTATTCCGTCCAAGTAAACATATTTTTAAGAGAAATGAAAATGAAATGGGGTTTAACGTCCTACTTTTCTGCACCGACTTGAATA